TCTCTCTCTCTCTCTCTCTCTCTCTCTCTCTCCGCCGCTCCCCCAAGAAAAGAAAGAGAACCAATAATAATAATTATTATTATTATTATAATATCATCATCCAAGCTTTATCCTCATTATTTGAGGTCAGCAATAATAATAATAATAATAATAATAATAAAACAAGAATGATGATATGTGTTTTTCTGGCTATCTCAAGTAGCTCTGACCATATGCCTAATGATAATGTGCAGGAAAGATGGAGTATGGGCGGGCCACTTGCTTTCAGGTTACTCCTTGCCAATGGACGATCCTGGTCCCTCAAAAGAAAGCAATTGTGCAGCTGGTGTTAGAGGAACATGGAAACAAGCTATCAAAGTCGCACACGAAGCTACTAAACTGGCTTTTCCTGGAGGAGAAATTGTCGCACATCTAGATAACAAGTAAGTTATCCTTCGATGTAGTATAAGAAGATACTGTTAGTGACTAGGTTGTAATAATTAGTCACGCAATTACATGGGTGCGCCAGTCCATTCTCCCTTGATATGGGTTAGCAAGTAATCTATGTTATTCAATTTTCGGAAGCATTGGATGGTTTACAAGGGCAGAGAATACTCTCTCTCTCTCTCAAACTGTAGCAGCTATGGAAAAGGTTGAAATTCCTTACCATCTTTAGACCTCAACAGATTGAAATCACGACTTTACAACAAAGAGCAATGTTGCTACAGGATTTTCTGTACAACCTAGAGATTGCTAAATCATTGGGTACAATAACGGCTGAGAAATTCTCATACGTCCTTTTTCCAGATGGGATTGTGTTTTCGGCAAGTATTTTTCCTTATGGAGCTTATTGGAAATTTTCATTATATTTTCCAACAGTGTTATCCGACTCACCCGAGTCCACTTGGACTCGGGGGAGTGACTTGCCTTGCATTGTGTTTACAACTCCGGTACAAATTTTTTTAAAAAAAAAGTCCAAAGAATTGTAAAAAATGTGAGGCTGTTGTATAAACTTTGTATATGATTTGGATGTTTTTGGTAAAGATTGGTAACTAATTTTTTTTAAATCCCTATTTTAAAATTTTTCTTTTTTATGGAATTTTTGTAAATGTCACTGACTATAAATATTGTTTTAAGGGAAAAGTTTATATAGAGTAGAGGCTCCAAACAATCAAATTCGAGCCTACCTCAAACATTCACTAGAAGATGTTGTTTTGATGTTCAAATATCATCAAATTGATCATCTCGACATCAAGATGCATGGACATGAGAAAAAAATTGATTTCAAGTTTTGGAAATAGTGTATTTTGTAATGCATTTTTTGACCGTCAATTTTAAAGATTTTCAAGTTTTCATAGATATCATCGATCTACACTATTTTTTATGCTTTAAACTTTATAAGTAAATATGAAAATATATTTTAAGACTATCAAAATGATTTCCAGTATTGAAACCACATTCCTCGACACTATTTGAAGGTAGGCTCTAATTGGATTGTTTAGAGCCCAGGCTCTATACAAACCACACGTTTGTTTTAATCCATTTTTTCTTGACCTTTTCAAGGTTATTTGAACTTTTAAGGTTGTTTTGGGTTTTATTTTACCTTTGCTACATTATTGTGTCTTTTCATATTTTTCTTATTTTTTTATTTATTTAGGGCTTTTGGTCCTATTAAGAACTCAGCCGAGTCGACTTACATGACCGGGACCACTTGCACTCAGCCGAGTCCAAAACTCGGCTGCCTCAGCCAAGGGCCAAGTCCCTTCTCAGCGAGTTCTTAAACACTTTTTCCCAATCCAACTACCTTTATGGAAATGTGAAAACATTTTTCTTGAATTATAGGAATATTGCTGATAGTGAAACGTCAAAAAAAGAATTTGCTTGACTCATAGGAATTTGCTGTTTTTATTTGATTTAGGAATTTCGTTTCTGATTAGTATTTTTCTGGGTGGCATTTTATTTTGAATTTTCATTATATTTTGGAACCCCAGCCACTAACCAGAGAGAGAGAGAGAGAGAATTTGCATGAATTTTATGAATATTATTGGTATTGTGAAGAACTGAAGATGAGAAATGAATATTTTCCGTATTTCAGAAGTTTCAAAAGCGGGCAAAGAAATGCAGTTACAAGCTTCCTTGCCGAAGAGAATATAAAGATTGGGAAGGCAGAAGACTTCTTCTGATTACAGAGGACACTCTTTAAGCCAAAAAAAATATTGTTTTTTTAATATTATATTTTGTAAATCATCCTCTGATAATTGCATTTTTACGTGCTAATTATGGCAAAGATTCCTCTTTTGCAGGAAGTATATGGCTATTGAATATTGAAATCTAGAATGCAATTCAAAATAGGAACAAATGCAACACAATTCTTTTAAGTGAACAACTAAAAACACTTTAATAAAGACATGTTTAGTTCGTGTGAATGTTTTCTAGAAAACATTTTTACGTGAAAAAATTCTCCTGTGGCAGAGTGTAGAAATATCTTCATACTAATTGGTCTTGGTGCATCTTTTTACACCAATTGGCAACTAATTAATGTAAAAATACAATAAAATAAATGTTGGTCCCATATTACTTGTCCAAATAGGAAAGAAGGAAAATGATATTGTAGGTTCACTAGGTTATATAAATTCAGAAATTAAGAGCCAACATTGTTGGTAGGATTTCGCTTTTTTGGGAAAAATATAAGGGTCCGATGGACTTAAATTTTGCACACATATACCTCATCTAGGTGCTTCAAAAAAAAAAAATGAATACACTTGAAAATGTTGGATTATATACGTGTAATGCTCTTGGCCACTCTATGATTGTGTCATGGCATAAGCCCTTCAATTTATAGAATATTTATCACTCTGTACATGGCACTAGAGCTAGGTGGGTGATGTTTAGATGTGAATATAAAATTTTATGTGATCGCAGCATACCAATATAACTGAAAAAAAAATTCTATAAGACATGTAAGACCAATTATGTTTTATAGGATGGAACGTTCGGCGGTCAAGAAACAAAATATCCATAAGATGAATGTAGTTATGATGAGAATATTAACATGAATGAGTGATAAGATAAGAATTGAAAGAATTCAGAACAAATATATACGAGGGAATTTAGGATTGTTCTGATAGGCGATAAGATCAAAGTAGGACGAGCTATTTACAACGTAAACTAGAACATATTTGGTTTAAGTGGAAGAGTCTAAAAAGGCAAAGAGAAAGCTAGGACATATACGAAAGTAGTGAAGAGATATGGAAATTTATAGTCACTAAGGATATGAGTTTCAATAAAGCATAATGGTGGAACTTTTTTTTTTTTCGAGAAACAGTAAAATTTCATTCCATTCTTACTAGAATTACATCACATTCAACCTAATAAACTCAGGGATAGAATTATGCTTACAAAAAATAAAACAAAAAAAAAGATCAAAGACAGTGGGATATAATAATCCTAAATAATTGGGATACAGCTTGAATGATGATGATGCTGATCACAAAAGAATGTCCTATGATCATCAAATAGAGAGAGGGAGACATTCGAATTACTGTTGTACGCGAAGAATGAACTTGCTCTTCAATGGCAACCTGCAACCATGGGCAAGAAAAAGTTATGGAAAGCATTAAAGCAGCCCCTGGTCGTTACTCGTTTGCATGATCCCCTTTTTATGGGGTCTGCCATGGCAGTAAAACGGCACGATGAACCTATTTACCGCATTAATTGTTGTTAGCCATTGAAAATTTGAACAAGGATTCTGAAAATTGATCATAAGAGGCATTGAGCTTAAATTGTAGTGTAAACCATGGGGTTTCATCTAGGCTATGTAACACAGACAAGTGTTTTGTATTTTCTTGCAAATGTTAATATACACGACACCCATGTTAAACATTATAGAAAAATACTTTTTAATATTTCTTCTTCAAACTTAACACCCAAGTGCCTAAATATCACCTAAAATCTCACTCCTCATATTTCTTTAAATCATATACAAACATCTCGTGTTTGAAATATCAGCTTTAAGGTTAGCATTTTTTATACTCGTATTTGTGTCAGATTAACACTAATACACATCCATGTCTAGGTAATATTGCATCGAGGTGATTAAACTTAAAATAAGTAATACCTAGAAAGCATATGTGTATCTCATATAGACAATTAAATGAAAATATTGCATTCACCCAAAAAATGAGGAGAAAATGATGCCATTCTCAATGAATGCGTATCATCTATTTAGCGGAAAATAGATCTAGGACTCCAAGAACTCAAAATAAATATTTTTTGAGATTGTTTATTTCCTGAATCATTTGATATGCAATATCCCAGTCCAAAATATTCTCTATTTCCCAACAATGGAACTTGATATAACTCCCCTAGAAACCTCTTACTTTCAGTGGAAAAGAATCTCTCATGCGGGGGTTCTATGCTCTTTCCAAGTTCATCGTACAAGACCATATTGTTAGAGATAAAAACATAACATATATACAATAAACAACAACATTACTAACAATGATAAATATGGCGCCCCAAAACCACAAACACAGACTATTCTAAACCATCCCTTTCTATTTGATCTCATAACAGAAGTTTTTGCAAACTCATATTTAGGTGCTTCCTTAGTATGTTACACACAAATCATGGTATTGAGTTTTAAGATGCTTTTCTGGGAAGAGAAGCCTGTGTAACTCTAATCTCGAATGAGCTGCCAATGCAAGAGAAGACTCATCTGGGTTCTCTCTCAAAACAGCCAAGGCAGCTACGTACGCTTTTCGTGCTTCTTCCATGGCATGTAGCTGGTTATCATCTATGGGTTCCTGGAAAAGAAAGGAAAATCACAGCCAGGTTTAAGAGAGAGAAACAACTTATATTTAGTAGGTCGCCCTGGTTCGTGAATTATGATGAAAATGGTGATAACAACCTAATACTTACTTAAGAAGGATAAATATTTTCCAGAGGTGACACTGGAAGACATTGATCTTTTAATCTCCCATACACAAACAAAAGGGGAGGGAGGGAGGGGGTAGAGAGCAGGGAGAGAGAGAGAGAAAGAGAGAGCGAGAGATGCAACCATCGTACCTACCACCAATCTGCTAATCAAACAGATCAATGGCAGGCAGCTCTCAACAGCCTCCATATACATTTCAAATTTTCGACTTCAACTTTATCAAAAATGGTATCTTCTTCACATTGCTCTTGATTCTTAATTTTAATAGCAAGAAGATAAGGACAATTTTTTTTTACTTTTGAGCCATTAAAATTAAGAAACACAAATTAATAAATAGATCCCTTCTGTGGAAAACAAAGGATGCTTGGGGGTCTCCATGTGAAATACAAAAACAAGATGGAAACAACTACAAGTCTACAAAATTTTAGTTGTGCCTCTTGATGATCAATGTGCTTGGTGGACCAAACTTGGCAGCATTTACCAGAGGATATCAGTTATGTGAAAATTGGATGACATAGGAAATGAAGATAATCAAATAAGGAGACTTTGGAGTTTCTTATTATCTCTTTAAAATGGGAATGAGAGAGTATGGCAAGGAAACCTAATTCAGTATTTCTATAACTCCACTTTCTCTCTCTGTGCAAGTTAGGCCAAGCTGAAAAGAAGATTAAACAAGCAATCAAGCAAAAGAAAAAAAACGGCTTGAAGACAAGAAGTAATCAAAGATGAAAATAAAGGAGTTTTTCCTGAACTTTTGTTATGTTATTTATTTCGCTTTTTAATATTTTCTTCCTACTCTTACTTAGGCTATTTCTTTTTCTACAGTTCCTTTTTTGGTTTTTTTTTCTTTTTCCAAACTCCTGTTCTCCTTTTCTTTTTGTTCGTCTAGCTCTTATCTCGTTCTTGTTTCATTTTCCTTGCATTCTGATATTTTTGGCTTTGATCTCTTAGGATTCTCTTTTTATGGATTGTAGAAAATTAAATCGACCACCATGGACAACGGGGGAGCCACAATGATGTCCCTTCGAATGGCCATTTCCAAGAACAAATAAAAAGTGATAACTAAAAAACACTAAGAAAATTGAAGAGAGAACACTGAGAAATAAATCCAAAAACAAGCATGACTATTTTGGGTAATGTTAGAAACTTTTGGATATGTTTAATATTTTCTATATTTTACAAACAAAATATATAATATGAATGTCCCCTCTCAAAACTGATTCTATATTTTTTTGTAAATTTTGAATGGGTTGTGATGTTTTGAGAGGTTATCAGCTTTATATATGGGAAGAATTTATATCTAATTTAAAGGTCACCTGTTATGCAAATATCTTCGATGAGAAGTGTGGATGGGAAAACAACCAAATACAATCATCAAAGTGAATCTTCCAAGTTGAAAACATAGAAAAACAGAACTGTGTGAAGACGACAAGCTTACCATAGCAGGAAGCAGATCCAAGGAGTCATCAATCGTCCAATCATCATCGTCAATTAGTACTGTCGAGTCTTTCTCCTCTGCAGTCTCGAATATATGCATGAGAGTACCAACCTCATTGTGCATAGAGTCTAGGTGCTGACGAAGCTCCTCAGTTTTACGATTTGACGTCTTTACTTCCCACTCTAACTTCTCCAGCACAGCTTGCTTATCTGCAAGCTTGATCTGAGCACGAAGGAACAATGCATTACTTACGTCATCAGTTTTACTATTTTGTCACCATGGTAATTCTTTTTTATTCTTTCAGCAGACTCTCTCTCTCTCTCTCTCTCTCTCACACACACACACACACACACACACACATATGGATCCACCTTGGTTGGAAAGCTGCATTACATTGGGACCAGTACATGCTAAAAGCATGTAGTGTTTCCCTCCTGGCAATTGGGTTTTGAGATAATTGATACAATTGCCGGGGCGCTTACAAAATTTCCACTGGTCAAGCAATGGCTAGAGTTAAGGATCTAAATTCAACTAGGTTTTCATTTAATTAGGAAGTTTGTGTTTGCAGCATCAAATCAGGTTCCCAAGAAAGTTGAATATTTCACGCATTTTGGTTGGTTAAGGTCAAGGATATATCTGAAATAATCTCCACTCTCCAGTTAACTGACTTACAATATTCCATGTACTATGAATGGTTAGGAACAAGGAATTACTGAAAACTCACTACACTTAGCTTTTCTGCAGTTCCACAATATCAATAATGTGAAAAGGAAGGTGTTGTTGCTGGATATTATGCACAAGTTCAAAATAATGCTAAATTCGATGCATTGGCTGTATATATATATATATATATATATATATATATATATCAAGCCATTTTCGAGGAACTGAAAAACCTAAAAAGCATATCTGGGGAGATAATCGAAGGATCAAAAATCACTAACAATCTGGTATAACAGCTAAATGTAAGTGCAGTTATTTCCAGCCGCAACATAGTAAACTGAAGATTTCAAAATCACAAAAGAAAATCTAGATACCAGAACCATAATGACAGATCAGTAGGCGGGTATGACCAATCGATGCTCTAATGAATAAACTGACATTGTGAATGAAACTTAAATAGACTAAATATAAGAAAATGAACAAAAAATGAAAAGCAGCAACAAAGGAAAAATTTAAATACCTTTGCATCAGAGAGTTGCAGGTGCACAGATCTGATGAAGGTGTCTTTTTCCTCAACCTGGTGTTTCAGTTCATCCAGGGATACCTGGACCAAGTTCATTTGGTTCAGAGAACTCTCTGCAGATTTTAGAATTTCATCCTTCTCAAATAGTTTCTTTTGTAGCTCCTCAACCCGTTCCCTTAGGAGAAGTAATTCCTCTCTATCCCTATCAGAGACCAGTCCCTTTGATGATATCACAAATTCATCAGCACCGCCATCACAATTGTCTCCCTTGTCCCCTGGTTCTCTCCTTGATTTAGAGGTGGCTTGAACTGTTTTCCTTCCCTTTGGCTCAACCACCTGATGAAAGGAACACAAATATTAGAATTGTCTTCTACTAATCACTTCCACCTTAATACATATGGTCATAAGAGGCAGATAAAAATCAAAAACTTCAAAAACAAATGAACATAGAGAAATATCTACCTTGGGATCGGACTGGTAAAACGTAAATTATATGTCCAAATACTAAGTTTCTATGTGATGCCAGTGATATAATTTCTGACGATTACCAAACTACTGAGTGAAAGGTAAGGGTGCTTCGTCAAGTCCTCAGGCACTCACCAATAATCAAATGGCTAGTATTGAAGACAATAACCAACAAACCATGAGGAGTGCCATAGATGGTTAACAAGCTTTGAGCAGAACTTGACCTTAAGCTATTCTCATATTCCCCAAACCAAAGGCCTCACATAAAACTACAATTTCATGTTCCTTTGAACCTTAAAGAAGCCTCCAACATCCAAAGGATTGAGATTGCATTTTAACTACTATAAACGATCAGCTCACCAGAACCAAAAGTCTTTGCATTATAGGAAACTGGATGAATACACCCATATAGTCTAACTACACAATGGAAGCAGTGTTCAGAAGGGTTTGTATACAATGAGACCATTTATCTTTGGTATAGGGTGGTCACAATTACTTATAACCATTCGATGTGAAATCTGATAGCTTGGGTGTGTCACAAAGTTTGAGAAAATTTCTTTTTGAACTTTGAGCTTGGTCCATGAAATAAATGCAGCCACCCAATTTCACATCCAATGGTCAAGATTAATTGTGACCACCTCGTACCAAAGGTAAATGGCCTCATTATGTACTTTCCTTTTTTAGAAACAGGAAACCAGGCAGGGCCCAAGCCGAGTGACTCAGGAGAGTCCCAAGTCAGCTCGTGAGACCCGTTTTTTGCAAACCATACTTTTTGAAGCATACCAGCTGGATTTTTTGAAGGCTCAGACAGACTTGGTGTAGAATCAGGTCAGTCTAGGAGTCTGGCTTATCCAGAACCAGCAGGGAGGTGGTTCTAAGCAACTAGGGCAAGTCGAAGTCAGACTTGCTGAGCTTTTAAACACTGGATGGAAGAGTACATCCATTTGATGTCCTCTGATGTTTGGGCTGTTAAGGAACTAAAATAGGAACTTGTTGACACTATTGTATATTGATTGTTGATAAACGCTCTAAAGCGAACATAATTTTCATTGTGATATATTGAAAAGAAAACGAGCTTCAAATAAGCGGAAAAAAATAGCGCACCCATTCCACACAATTTTTGGGGATAGTCTAATGCAGTCAAGCTTCAAACAGGTAAATGACCAGCCTGAACATGTCTAACTATGCTTTCTCTTAGAAAACCATTAATGCTTTAATTTGCACAATAGAACCAACTAGATCAATGGCTCATTGAAATATTTCGCCACACAATAACCTAAAAGGCTGATTCATGGATTTAGACATTTCAACCCATTCAATCTCATCAGAACCCAGTCATGTCCTATCACTGTCATGCATCAAGATTAAAGTAACTAACCATATTTCCCACAAATCCTGGATCCCAAAGTAATGACCACAAAAGAATTATCACAAACATAACAAGAATATTAGATCATCATACGCCAGCATCCTATTCTTTACAAGAAGTAATAAACACGATGCACAAAAATAAGAGCAGCAAAACACAATTCAATCAATAAAGCGCACAATACAATCTCCAAATATGCTTCTCACCTTCCTTGTGTATGAATCTCTGGATGGAGTGCGTGTGTATATTAGAGAAGAGCGGCGCGTGAATGATGAGTTTGGTCTACGATCCTGCAATAAAATTACAAAATCAAATACACAAGAACCAAAGAGAGCTGAGAAAGTAACATCAAACGCAGATAATTCCTGATTAACATGGATAAAAATCATGCCTCTATGATCTAGAACAAACTGGATAAAGAACAAAAAAGAAAAAAGCAAAAAAAGGAATTGCAAGAAAGCCCGTCTTCATATCAAAGTGGTAAATCTAGAATAGCATGAAACTAGGAAGTTCTTGCCCAACTTTATAATCACTCCTCATTTCAAACTCGTTAACACTAAAAGGCTAAAACAGCATGATGATGAAACTATGAATGACCTTTGTTCTCATTACTTTTTCTTCACAGTGTCAATGAAAGAGAAAGTACGGAATTGAGGGGTAATTTGTTTGTTGATGAACAAAATGGGGTACATTTCACCGCAAAAGAATCACTAAGTGGAACCAGATAAAAATGAATGTTCAAGAAAAAGAGGAAAACTACCATCTTTATCATTAATTCATTATATTTGTATACAGTAGAAGATAGCAGAAAGGACTAACAAAAAACACACAAAACTTTTACCTTAAAGATTCAAGAATAGGATATCCGAACTAGAAAATGGGTAGCTAAAAGAAAAAAAAATAACAACCTCCATGATTATTGAATAAATTAAAAAAAAATTTAAAAAAAAAGAAACAGTAGCAATAACAAAAAATGTGAAAAAACAAGGAAGAATTTAGCTAAGACTTGTTCAAAGGGGTTCTTAAATTACTCAAAGAAAAAAAAAAAAAATCCAATCTTCATCTTCCAGAAAAGAAAAGCAAACACGGCCATAAAAAAAGAAAAAATACTTGAAAAAAAAAATGCAGGCAAATCTTACCATAAGAGACTCAACAAGAGGTACGATTTCCACAAGGTTTTTGAATAGAACTCTATCCACGTTTCCATTAGGATGGGATGTAGAAGTAGGGGATGACTGCTCAGAGAGCCATCCTTTACTGTTGTCCCTGAAATACTGTTGCTCCATGGCCATGACCAGAAGAACCCTAAAAAAAAAAGTAACAAAAACCCTAGAATTTGTCCATGGAAGTGAGATCCAGAAAGAACCTCAGAAATTTCCAGGGCAAAAGAGGCAAAACTAGATCACATGGCACTTCTGGGAATTCAAAAACTGGTGTTTTGGAAAACCCCATACAAATCTACTACGATCCTACATTTCGCGATGAGAGACAGATCCAAGAAGAAAAAACATAAAAAACCTAGCAAAATCTAGTGCAAATAAATGTAGGTGAAAATCACTGAGCTTTCTGATAATTCAAAGCGTTTTTTTTTTTGCAGAAGTAAAAACGCATTAACTGCTGAGAAAGGAGTGCTGTTGAAGTTGTGATTGCGGAGAAAGCCGGATGAACAAGAATGCTCCTTTGTTTTAAAATTATTACAAGAGTAACCTCAATTTTGAAACTTTGGGCAAGCGCTTACTTCTCCTTAACTTTTGGTCAAATGACCCTTGAGGACAAAACCTTGGATAAATGAACGTTGGCATTATGAAACAGGTGCGGTTTGTATAGAGCCGAGGCTCTAAACCATCGAAGTAAAATGCACCTTCAAATAGTATCCAGAAATTTGGTTTCAATATTAGATCTTCGTGATAGCCATAAGCGATATTTTTATTTTTAATTATAAAGGTGGCCTTTATATAAGGTTGAGGTTCTAAACAATCAAAATAAAGAGTACCTTTAAATAGTATTGAAAGATATTGTTTTCGTATTTAAAATCTTTTTGATAAAAAAAAAAAAGATCTCTAATTATACAATTTAAAGCTTCAAAAACAGTATGGATTGATCAAATTGATGAACAGTTATAAATTTGGAAAATTGACGGTTCAAAAAATGCATGACAATATGTATTATTTCTAAGATTTAAAACTATTTTTTGTCATGTCCATATATCCTGAGGTCGAGATTATCGTTTGGAGGATTTTTTGACATCAAGACAACTTCTTCTAATGAAATATTGAGGTGCACCTTAATTTGATTGTTAAGGGTCTCAACCTTATGTAAAACCTTTTCTTTATGAAAATGTTGCAATTGTAGAGGTGTAAGTAGTTACGACTAGGGGTGAGAACGGGTCGAATTGGGGCTAGATCCGACTAGATTTGGATTTAAATCTGAATAGTTTACATTGGATCTAAATCGGATCTGGGTTCAAACGGGATCCTAGATATTTGGATTTGAATCCAAATCTGAATACTATGTATCATATCCATATCTAAATCTAAATAGTATACATCTGGATCCAGATCCTGATCCTGATTATGTATGTACTATTTTAAAAAATTATATATATAAAATAAAAATTTACTATTTAAAAAAAACAAATCTAGATCCACCTGAACCTTGATTTGATCCAATTTTCAATTCAGATCTTTTTAGATCTGGATCCAAATCTGAATAGGGTCCAAAATCTAAGTTTTGGATGCGGATGGGGTCAATTCTCACTCCTAGTTGGAACTAGTAGTTGGGACTTGGGAGCCGCAGGGTGGCTAGTTTTTGCTAGGCTGTTCATGCAGCCTTGACTCATTGACTACTTCGATCCAAGTTCAGCCTCTACGCCAGCACCACACACAATTGAGCACATATGCGTAGGGACCCAAGTGTTTAAAAGGGCCATGGCCCAATTTTATTCAATCTCTTTAAAGGTACAAAAGGGTACACTACTACAAAAACTCCTCGATGATATAGTCATGGTTTTATATAAACACATGTTTAAGATTTGTTCAAAATATTAACAAACATTTGGCAACCGGCCTCTACCACGATCATTGGCGCACTGCGCACCATGACAGCATCATGATGACCCAACATGACTGGTGCAGGCCTTAGCCAGGTCCTTGCAGGCACCAAAGTGTCGTGTCGCAAATGCCGCCTAATAGTAGGGGTGGCCTAGGCAGACCATGTTAGCTCGGGCCTAAAAAATTAGGGCTCGAGCCACAAAATGTGGCTCGAGGGCCAAGCAACCATAACCCGAAGATAGGGCTAGTCCAAGGCTAGCCTAGTTTAGCCCTTGCCAGTCCTCTTTTTTTATTTTTCTTTCTTCAATTTGTTTTTTTTATTTCATTTGACCTTGCCTGGCGTTGATAGGGCCCGGGCTCGTGCCTCCCAATCTGAGCCTGCCGGTGCATGGCCGGTCCACCCTATAAGAACTAGGGCCAACGCTAGCTCAGCCCCATGCCGGCCCTGCTTTGACAGCATCCCAAGTGATGCACAATGTCTAACACCGTTGTCATCATTTGTTAAAATGTATATACAAGATGAATTATTGAATATTTTACTATTTTTATTTAATTTCAATAAACTTATCAAAATACAATATGATCATCAAACACTTTTTTTTTTAAAAGCAAAATATTATCTAATTAATAAATTAGATGTATTCTCTAAGCTATTACAAACTTACAAACAAGCATCTAGTTAATATTTGTAGCTTTTTTCCTTTGGGTGGGTTCCTTGACATTTGAATAATGTAGCTTTTGTGGCCACTAAACCATATGCTCAAACCTTGGATTTGTATTTTTCTTGTTCCACGAACCATTAGCCCGAATCTAATCTTTTTCCGGTTCTTCTTACATTTTAGGGACAAGTATAGCATGCACCTGTAGGAGCAAATTGCACATTTACTCTTTCACGTAATACATGAATTTTTTATTATTATTTTGAACGTTTGCAAAACATCTTTTGTCTGTCTACGGCAAAATTTCAACAAAAAAATTAAGGCTATTTTTTACTTTGAGCAATTCAAAGCTAGATATAATTTGGATTGTTTTTCAGGGCTGCAAATCATTTATTTACTCACATGAATAATGATGACTTTTTATCAAGATTGTATATGATATGACCATTTATTTTTTATACAAGGATGTCACCAATCACATTTTTGAATGCGAAATCCAATATATGAAAGTGTGTCGCAATATTTGAGAATTTTGTTTTGGATTTATGCCTAAACAATGAGAAATCCTCAACCACCCGATTTAAAATCTAGTGGTCAATGATGATTGTGAATTTTTTGCATCAAAAGTAAGTGGATACAATTCATTTTTTACTGCCAATACAAACAATAGTAATCATTAAGATTTTCAACTTTGTTTTTTATTTTCCATTGACCAAAATTTAGACATTTCTTGATTTGTGCATGTTATCCTTGCACAAAACCATGGTAATCTTCTATATATTGTTCCAATTTTTTCGCATAGAACCAGAGAGGAATTTTCAATATCAGTCGTAATAAAAAGAGGGTGGGGAGGGGAATTTTGAGATAAGCATGTTTCGTGATTTGGTGACCAGCAAAAATTTATTTAAGGTTGCAACTTTATATCATAGAAGTAATGTGTAGCTCCAAAATCCAAAAAAGAGTGTCATGAAGTTGAAAAACTTTGTAATTGATCATCTCGACCTCGAGATATATGGTTATAAAGGAAAAAAATAATTCAAAGTCCTAAAAATAAAGTATCCTACAACAAGTTATTTGGATCGTCTATTTTCAAAATTTCAAATGCTTATAAAGTTGCTTGCTCTTCACTGCTTATGAAATTTTAAATTTCATAATTAATATTGAACAAATATTTGAAAAATTGTTTCATTCGAGTTGGACTGCATTTCTACATATGCGGACCATAAAGAGTAAAGCATCCATCTTAAAGAGGGATGCAAGTAGTTGTTCCATTTAAAACAATGGAAACTAACGGTCCAACTGTTTTCTCACAATAATTATTATTTCTAGGTTTTAAATTTATTTATTTTTTATATTCATGATCACAATATTAGAGATTACATGTCTTTAGAAATTAAGACTTAAAATCTATCTCAATAACAGATTTATTAAGAGATCTCATTTCTATATGCACGCTTGATGCATAGAAACCGGTTCCTAAAAATTTAAAAACCACCATAAGGTTTCTAACACAACGAAAAATTAGAGGCAGGCTTTGTACTTTGTAAGGTTAGCACCTTACACAAACCTCCCTCATTAGGATTAATGAATAAGGTATCAAGTTTCGGTTGGTGCCTTAGGGTCGGTAATGTGTAGGGGTATTATGATAAAGTCTAAAAAAATCGGAGGACCTTTTCGTAAATTATTTGCTTTGGACTTAGGCCGGCCTTTGTCCGAAATACGCGTTCTTGAGCCTTTTGGCAGCATTCACGCCTTTCTGTTGATACGCGAAAAATGACCAAAATAGCCTAACTATTTCAATTCCCATATGACTATTTTGCCCCTTGTCTTTTGCCTTAGGACGTGATATTCATAAGGCGGATAATCTGTTTTATTGCACGGCCAAGATCTATCAAGGAAACCACGTCTCTCCACATCAACACCATCCATTCTACTAAACAATGATCTTACACTTTCGATGATGAGAAATTCATGTCTCGTGGTGTGTACATGTAATAGTGTTTTATAATCCGGAAACGGGTTTCTAGATCCCCACAGTTGGAACAATCTGGATCGGCCGGAGCGGCAATCCCAAATGAAAATAAATATGGAAAAAGCAAAAAAAAAAAAAATGCTTGGAGCTATAGATCGAGGAACATAGTCTCTCAAAAAAATTTATTTGATAAGCTACAATTTAGTGAGGGTCGAGCTGATTATTGACTCTAAAGAAAATTAACCTGGTCGGTTGGCAATCTCCAATTAGATGGTTGTTTCCAATCCAAATCAACGATTCTGAAAGTCATGTAATTTAAATGTCGCGTATGGATCAAAGAGCCATGTATATAGTCAAAACAATTTACTGGCTGGTTTGTCATGCGTAGATAGATAGAACTGTGAAACAAATGTTAGACTCAAAAGAGGGAAGAGATGAAGAAGAGATTCAGTGTGATTAAAGCTGCAAGACCCAGGTTTCATGGGGCTTCTTGGTCGATGAAGATTTAAAATTTGATACCATTCTCCTTGCTTCATGAAGCGGAACAATTGATTCAGATATAAACTTACAAGGTAGGCTGACTTTGTGATTAAATGAGAAAGACATCTCAAGAAACTTCTTGTTATGAGTTATAAACCATGTTACGAACTTGCCACGGCGAGGGAGGTCACTCGGGCGAGTCCCTTGAGTAACTGGAATTAAAAATAGAATCAATGTAATAAATGCCCAATAATTTACTTTTAAAAGAAAAAAAATGAAAGAAATAAAATAAATGCAGTTATGATAAACAAAACCAAAATCAACATTCTAAATCTTTTTAAAAAGTATAGAAAAATAGATCCAAAAAAATTGAATCATAGGGATATTCTAAAAAAAAAATCTTTAAAAAAAGAAAATATAAAAATCAAGATTGTGGAAAAAAATATTCACCAATCTTTGCGCCCATGCATATAAGGAAAAGTTTATATGAGGATGCTACCTTATAATGTAGAACTACTGATGCCCCTCAAAAATCCATCGGAAAAGGTAATTTTAATGTTGAAAACCCCTTTGATTGATCATCTCAATATCGATATGTATGACTATGAAAAATAAAAAGATTTTAAGTCACAAAAATAGTGCATTTTACAACATATTATCTACACCATCCATTTTCAAGATTTTCATATGTTTATTGATCTACTTGATTTTAACCATTTTTTAAATTTAAAATTTTATAATTAGATATGAAAATAGATTTTGAGATAATCCTAATAACATTTTACTTCAAAATTATATACCATGATAAAATTTGAAAGGCACCATACCTCTACACCTATGTAGGGTCCGTATGCCAACTACACCCTACATTTAATTGTCCATTTTCTAATTTCTTGTGTTTGTACAAACACAGCGGTACTGAAGTGAACACATGGCTTTAGTTGGAGTATTTTTCTTTCTTTTTTTTTTTTTTAATAAGTGCGATAATTCATTAAGATAATAAAAAGTTATAAAAGGAAAAGAAAAAGAAAAACAAGGAAAAAGAAACAAAGGAAAGAAAGGGAGAGGAAACATAAAGCCAAAATGCTAAGAGGCTAAACTGTTGGTATCGTGGGGCAGTAGCCCTCTTAGCCAGGAGATCCGCATCAGAGTTGTAGCCGCGATGTACATGAATAAAGAACGGATCTCGTCCCCTAATAAACATAAAGATATCATCCATAACTGCACTAAGTCTCTAAGGCATGACATCCGGATTCAGACACCATGTGATAACATTGGCAGAGTCACCTTCAATAATAATTTTGTAATGCATCTAGTCAAATCTATCGACACCTATCTTCATAGCCAAAAGCTCCACTTCATTGATTTCTCAGGGGTGAAGCCTGCCATAATAAGACCATATCGTACAACCATTACGGTCCTGAAGCAGGCCTTCATAACCAGAGAGTTGTCCCCTAACACTACCATCAAATTTTATTTTAAACCGGCCTATAGGAGGCTTCGTCAAAACTCGATGAAGTTGAGCACGAGTCTTTATTAACAGCAACAACTCACTGAGACGTGAGAAGCAAGACAAATTGGGGACAACTAATAATGGGAGAGAGGCATAGGCCCAAGTCAGTGAGAAAGTCCCTGGCCTGTCCTTTAAACGTTCTCAAGTTTCTCTCCTTCTAAAGGTTTCAAAGAGAGGTTGCAACAATAATTTTCTAAAGATTGATACCCAACGACACAAAAGGAGGGCTCCAAATCTGTTGCATAAGAGTAGGGACATCCGAGGCCCAAGGTCCATGCCAATTGGTCAAACAAGCAAGCCATTCTCACATAGCTACCGCATAGGTGCAGTCAAGGAAACATGGATCAATTCCTCGTCCTCCTTTATCCTCATTGCATAAAAGACAAACATTAGTGATGATCATTCCCCCCCTCATCTGAAGCTGATTCATAATAAACAACATTTTAATGCAAGGAGCCACATAAAAGGACTTGACTCCAAGGGGCACATTACTTTTCCAGAATTTGGCCAAATGGTGTTTGTCCTGAATGTATTTGTACCTGCTCACCACTTCATGTAAAGAGCAAATGGAGAACACTCCATGCGCCTCTAAACTCCAGATGATTCTATATGGTTTCCTCGGGTAAAAGCAAAAGCTATATAGAGCCGCCAACAAGGAAGCATATTCATCTGCAACATTACGATCCACTATTCTAATGGAAAGGAAATCATATATGTTGTCCTTCCACAAAAATGATCATGTTGTCTACCGGTTTTTGAGTGGATTTTCTATATACTTCAGGATACACCAACTTCAGACGGAAGTCCCTAGCCATTTAGTGTTGGGTTTATGTGGCATTTAAAGGACTTATGAGTTTGCATTTAAAGGACTTATGAGTTTGTATTGAAATACTTTCATTATAGTGAAACTTAAATTTAGTGGGAGTATGGTCCCTCAAGGACCATATTAAATAAATGATGTTTTGCTTATACCGGATTGTGCTTATCGATATATGCAGGACAGTTGGAAAACCCAATGTACTTGGTCATAAATAATTAATCGAAGATGGTTTTGGGTCAGCCCTTGATAAGGTCGAAGCTTATGTTTAGATAAGAGAGTCGAGGGACTATGTGTGTGTGTGATGGTAGGCCTACTGAGACGGGGCCCAAAACATTATTCATGTTCCATCACATGGCATGTGTATAGATAGATCATTTTGGAAAACCAGATATCCACCTTTGGGTGAAGCATACGCGTGTGCGAGAGATACCCCTATGCGTCACAGAGCTGTGGTCGCATCAGGTCATGGTGACCTTTGACTCATTTGTAAGAGAGGACCTCTAATCCACAGACTGGGATTGCGACCCCTTGATTCATCGACCTTACTTTGGTTACTTGCTAATGAGCCCCTGTTTGGACTGTGGATCATGGAAAATATTGGGTGGGTTCGATAAAGCTAGTGTGGTCTGTAGTCTACAGTTGAAGGTGGAGTACCTCATCATTACATATTGGATTTCTAAAATCATATAGATCATTTTCCCATCATATTAATTTAAATGTGTTCATTTTTATTATTGAAATGATTTTAGTTTATTATTTGAGTTTTTATGAATTTCTCAATATTTTATTTGTGATTTTTGAACTTATAAAAATACAGTTATTGTTATTACAAAGTTATAAATATTAAATTTTTAAAAAATATATTTTTATAAAAAATTCATGGGGGCCCATAGTGTATATGGGCCCACCATGTAGCACGTGGGTGGGGGCCCGTATGTGCCACAAAAAGGTGGCACGCCCCACTCTATTTGGATTCTCTTGGCACGATCGTCAATGCAAAGTAGGTTCCCATAATGACCGATTCACTCTATCAATCCAGGCTTTTAAACACGGATTAAACGACAAAATATATGCAATATTTAATTAAAATATAAAATTTAAATAATTTATGATTAACTTCCAAAATTATCATTATTATTCTTTATCTCATTTACACATGGAAAAAATTTATATAGAGCCAAGGCTCTATGCAATCAAATTAGAGTTCACCTCAAAAATTTCATTAGAAGAGGTTTTTTTTTATGCCCAAATAACCACAAATTGATCATATTGACATCAAGATGTATTGACGTGAGAAAAAAATGGGTTTCAAGTTTTGGAAATAGTGCACCTTCTAATATATTTTTGGACCGCCAATTTTCAAGATTTTTATATATTTGTTCGATCTATACTATTTTTGAAGCTTTAAATTTTATATAAAAATATATTTTAGGGTTATCACAAAGATTTATATTATTAAAACCGCATTTTTCGACACTATTTAAAGATGCGTTTTTTTTTTATTGTTTGGAGCCTCGGCTCTATGCTAACCACACCCTTTACTCATTGGTCATTGCACGTATCTTGCACCGCACGTGAATCGCCTAAGTCCACTAGTTTCGATGATCCCAGGCATGATATCATTCCGGGTTTATACTTCATAGACCACCCCTCACAAGACTCGGGTTTGGCGCCGTTCAATTGTTAACCCGCTTTGCCCTAGAACACCTGTAAAATCCCGTCACCGCTGCTTCGCCTCCGCCGCTCCTGCACTCTCCCGCCTCTCCTGCACTCTCCCGCCTCCGCTCTTTCTCTCTCTGTATCTTCTAGTTCTCTCTGTACATATATTCATCCACTCTGTCCCCTTCTTCTGCAATCTTTGGGTCTCGTCTGCCATTTGTGAGCTTCTCGTCTTTAGCATCAACCATCCATTGTTTCTTTACAAACTTCAGTTGTTTTCATCGTGAAACACATTATTCAAAGTAGGGTTTTCTGAGCAGGAGGAGAAAATGGTGGGTGTGGATGAGGGCAACGAGTTGTTGCAGTTGTTCGTCAAGATTGGGTTGGATGAGCGCACTGCTCGCAATGCTCTCGTCAATTCGAAGGTCACTTCGAATTTAACTGCAGTCATTCATGAGGTATTTCCTTGACTATTTATTTCTCCTCTTCTGCGAATTATAGTTGCATTTTTTGGTTAATTTTAATGATGCGAAGTGTCATGAAACTGCATTTTTGTAGCAATTTGCTATCTTTGCTGAAAGCTGCAAAATTTGGCATTCTTTCCTGGCTGAAAGTTGCTGTATTTTGCTGAAAAGTCAAGAAGGACTGGTTTAATTTTCGAAAATATTTTCAAGATCAGTAATTAAAAAACCAGACAATAAAGGGCAGAAAACCAGAGAAGTATTGGGTGGATAACCAGAAATTTTTGCCTGAAAATCTTTGTGGGAGGAAATAAAGGCCTGAAAACCAGAAACTTTTTGGGTGGAAATTTATTGAATCAAAATGATTAACATTTGATTCAAAACTTTGAGTTAAAGTTGACTTCAAAAGAAACTTTGAGTTAAAGTTTTAAATGATATATATATATTTTTTTTGATTCTGTGTAACTTTTCAGGCAAAAATTTTGAAGATTCAAAATTGTAATGATTTCGAGTCAAAGTTTAAATGATTTTGTTTGAATGGGTAAAGTTTAATTGATTTTGGTTTAAAAATTTAATTATTTAAACAATATTGTTTAAGACGAAATTATTTGTAAGTAGTTAAAGCCACAGATATTCAATGTGTAAGTTTTTAAAGATTTTATTTTTCTTTTTTCCCAGTTTCTTTTTGAGTTGAATCCTATTGGACTGGGTGATCCAGAACTGAAGCAGCAATACTTGGGTGTCCGGGGAACTGTGTAGGATCCGATTCTGATTTTTAAAACACTTGTTTCGGGGGAAAGAGTTAAAAATACTAGACAAAGAAAAGTTGTTCAACATCAAGAGTCATTCGGAATCTTAAATATTTTACATGTTATTGATAATTATTTGTTTTTGGTTAATATAGCTTTATTTGTTTGGATTTTTTAAATCTCTTTATCTTTTTTTTCTTTTTTTTTTTACATTTTATAGTTCAATTCAACATGCCCCGATAACCAGTGGCCTAGGGTGGATGGGTTCTTTGCCATATAAGTTCCAAAATATGCAATGTGCCTGATTATTTGTTTTTGGTTGATATAGTTATTTCTTCCAAATTTTTTAAAGCTGGTTATCTTTTATGTTTTTTTTTTTGACATTTTATCGTTCACTTCAGCACCACTCAGGTCTCCAGGAAATTGGGTCTGCACAGGTTGGTAGGTTGTTGTAACGATTTTCCAGAAGATTCCAGTGGGCTAGGGTGGATTGGTTTCCTGCAATATAAGTTCTGAAATATGCATTTGCCTTTGTACAAACTTTCTCAGACACTGTTTGCACAATTAACAAACGTTTACTACCGAAGTTTATACACATGGAAACCATGCTCTAAAAGTTACTTCATTCATAAATAGAACTTATTACATAAATTAGAATTTTAAATAGAATATATTAAATGGATATGGTAGCAGTAGTGTGTTGTCTTTGTTTATTCTTCTCTTTTTGGTGAAAAATCTTGTGCAGGCTGGAGTTGCAGATGGATGTAGTAAGTCAGTTGGAAATCTACTTTACATGGTATGTGCTCTTTAGTCTTACTGAATTCTGCACCAACATATTTGTTTCTACTTCTAAATTTATTTGTTTAGCTGCTAAACTTTTTTAACCATGTCAACAGGTTGGGACTAAATTTCCGGCCAATGCACTTGTTCATCGGCCATTTTTGCTCGAATACATAGCATCATCCAAGGTACAACTTCTGATTTGTTATCTGTTCTATATTTGTTATGTTGCATTTATTTCTGTTAAGTTATGAACTTCATGAGGGTGTGCCCCAAGTTTAGCTTACTGCAATAGCTCACTGTGACCAAAGGGAAATAATATTCTTCGTACATTTTCTTCATTGGAACCATCATAACAAGATAGCTGTGACGCTTGGCGTAAACTTCTAATTATGAGAAAATAGCTTTTTATAAAAACTTACATGCTTATGATTGTCATGATATTTCAAATTAGCCTTTAAGAAAGTCTCATGACTTTTAATTGTTGTTGCAGATAAAAACGTCTGCGCAGTTAGATTCTGCATTGTCCTTTCTGGCTAATAGTGGTCCAGAAAGCTTCAACGTGAAAGAATTTGAAGAAGCTTGTGGTGTGGGTATGTCCCTGATCTTTTTGTTCCGTGGTTATACTTTTTTCAGTTTGCTATATAAGAGTTGGTTTCTTGGACACCCTAGATTATGTGTTATTATGACAAAATATTGCATCCTCTGTAAGGTCAATCTAGTTGTTGTAGTACTTTGCAATATGAAAAATGCATCCAGTCACACTATTCAATGCTTTTTATTTTTGGGTCAACATTTTCTTTCTATAGGATGATTGATAACAATTGGAGGAATATTTGGTTGTTGATATGGTAGTTGTAGAAAAAACATTTAAAACCAAAGGAGTGCTTCTATCATACAAGCACAACCTTTATCCGAAAGCCCAACTTCTAAGGGCCGTGTTGCATTATGTGATCATGTGACACTTGGTTGGGATCTGTTTACGTTAATTGTGGTGACTATTGGGCAAAGGAATCTTGATCCAATGTCTAAACTTTGAGTCTCAACTGGAATAAAAAGGTTAATTTGATTATTTCTAAACTGACAAGGTGCTTTCATCATTACTTGGTTTGATGTTGTTTATCCAATCATATTTATGTAGGCTAAAAATCTTTCATGGTGCAGAAAAGATATTCAATATGAATCATTTTATGCTTCCTATCTGTATCTGTGTGTGCAGATACATATATCGTGTTTGAAAACTTGGTTTGGGAACTCAGTACAGCTTGATTTGGAGGTCTGGGATTCACCTTAGTTAACTAAGCTTTGGCATTGGACTAAAATTTAGGTAAGGGTCAGACTTGGTGTCTTACCTCTTACATTAATATGGCACTTTGCAGATCCATCAGTTTTGCCTTGCCTTTTATAAGGTTTTTGGCTAAGAGCAGACTGTAATGCTCTGTTTGACAATCTCGGCAACTTTTTTTGGCTAAGAGCAGACTGTAATGCTCTGTTTGACAATCTTGGCAACTTTTTGTTTCTCTTGTGTGGGGGCCATGATAATTCATAATTTTCTTTCCTTGACTTCCTAGTTCTAACCATAGTTGTTGGGTTTGGGTGCGTTCCCGGTGGCAGGAACTGCTTTGGGTCTACTGAACTGTGGATGGCTGGAAGATCCTTGTGGTTAAGATCGTTGTCTGTACGGTCCTATATCAAGGGACCTTGATCCTTGTCATAGGGAATATCAATTCATTGATGCAGGAATTGCAGCAGTGAGTTATAAGGGATTGCAAATTATGTTTAGATTCACATTACCACCACTATTTAGCCGCCGGGGGGGGGGGGGGGGGGGTGGTTCACATTATCATTGGGTACAAACAAGAATTGGTGCATATGAATCAGTGCCGAGTAGAGAAAGCATCATATGCACTGCATCTTACACTTGAGAATCACGGTTCAAACCCACTAAAAATGAGGATCACAATATAGGGATGTGCGTTCCATCCAAGGTCCCTTGCTGGAACCGTGGGATTGAGGTTCCGGACCGGGTCCATGACCTTTCCTACAAGGTTCTAGCCAGGGACATCTAATAATTTTTAGTTTTATAAATTCTAGAAGTTAGTGCCAATCAATAAGAGAATATTTGCCATACTTACCTTGGTATGTAGGAGAGTTTATATGAGACGGGTCCATTAATCTATGAATGGTCTCTACAAGAATGTTTGCCATTGGTTTTTTCAACAATTCAAGAGCTTTGAGGTCTGGAGGCTCTTAATTTCACTGTAATTCAGAGGATTTGAACTTCCTTATTGAGAGCAAGGTGTCAATTGAAGGACAACATGCTCATTGAAAGTTTTTCCTCAAAAAAAATAAAATGCTAATTGAAAGTCTTTTTACTTGGCCCTGATGGCTGTAGGGCTGTCGACTGGGTTGGGTTGACTTGGAAGTCTGCTGAGTCAACCTGAACCAGGTCCTGGTTTGGTTCCCTAATTCCGGTTGTGGGCGTGGGACCATGGAACCTGCTGCTTACTCGGCTGGGTCCGGGTTCTGGGTGATCTGGACTGGGTCCTAATACCCATTCTTTTGTTAATTTTAAGTAAGTTAATTTATTTTAAAATAAAAAATTGATCAACCCATGTAACTATGTTAGAAACTTGGTATTCCAACTCTTGTTAACCCCTATTTATATTCCATTAGTTTCTTTTTCTCTAGATCTCATCTGTTCATCATTCTTTTCCTAGATATGGAATTCTTTTTCTCGCTGCACTCTCATATTCGGACCTCCTGAAAGGGGGAAGAAAGAAGGCAAAAATCTTTTCAATCCTTAAGAAAGAAGCTATAAATTCAGATCCTCCTCCTCTCTTTCTACTTTTCTAACTCCCCAGAAGAGAAAAAAAAGTGCTGAAAATCTCTATGATTTTCAAGTAAGAAGCCATAAACTTGCTTGTCTCTCTCTCTACCCATCCAACTCTCAATAGAAACATGGGGCGCATATCTGCAATAATCAAGCAATAAGCCTTAGATTTAGATCAAGGGAAGCTCCTTATTGGGGGGTTTTATGGGAAACTTCAGAGGATATCATGAAGGGTTATTTCATCATATATGGGGAAGTTTGTCATATGTAAGAATGAAGGATGGCTCTAGGGTTTTGGGTTCATAGTGTTGTTGGATCCTTTGATTCTTCTCATGGTTCTTCAAGATATGCACACAGTCAATGGAAGAACAGTGATATTTTCTGTTTGAAACCCTATTGGGTTGTGCGGAGTGTATTGGTTTTTTTTAAGGATGTTATTTTCTACGTTGAATAGTTGAATATGGTTCCTTCTTTTTTCTCTTTGATTTAGATTCCTTATTTAGTTGTGCAAAAATGATGGTACATAAACCGCATAATCTGTTCTTTAGTTTCATAGTTGCTTATGCTGGAGCAGACCATGCCATCCTGGGTTGGGTCTGGGTGTACCAACCCTGTCTTGGGTTGGGTCCTACTCTACCGTAGCTAGACCTGTCTGGGTTTGCGTCCCCATATTGAGTGGGTCTCATCCCGGTTGGGTCCATTGACCTAGATCCAACCCATTACGCCCCCAATGGCTACTATTTTCATGTCACAGTTCGTTGTTGATGCTCTAGTTTTGTGATGTGCCTCCAGTATTTGGTTAGTGAGGGAGCATTCCTATGGTGGCACACATCCTGAAAGTCCATGCTACTACTGTGAACTCTTGGGTTCTATGCTTATGCTTCTTAGTTCACCTCTGCAACCTAATTGCTGAATACATATGATTAAGTTTGGTTGGAAATGAAACATGGGCTTCACTTTATCCCCCGCACGTCAGAGACCCATTGGCATATTAAGTGGAAAACCAGAGTGCGTTTCATTCCCACTGTTAACAATCAGAAAAAAGGTTGGAAAACCAGAGAAACTCATGTTGGTTATGGTTGTTTTGATTACTTTATGAGGTTCTACTAATGATAGAAATAAAAGAGAAGTAATTTGCTTCAATTTTAGGGTGAATAGATATACCAGAAGTACGAACATTGAACGGTTTGTGAATAATTTAAAATTCTTCACGATGCTCTTATGGATATCATCAGAAGCTAGCCTTGATGTTACTTATGGTAAGGTTTATTGGTTTATGGCTTTTTTTGTTATAAAGTTATTCCTTGCATCTCTTACTCAAAAGAAACAATTATTTCATGCATCTCACAGGAATTGTTTCATGACTATGTGAAAATGCCACTCTTGATGTATCTTTAATTGTTTATGTTTCACTGGCTTGCAGGGGTTGACATTTCCACTGAAGAAATTGAAAATATTGTGAACATGGTTTTGGAGGAGAATATGGGGACCATACTGGAACAACGTTATCGTGTTAATGGTGGGGATTTCTGTTTAACAGCTTTAGAAATGGCTGATGTTCTTTTCTTGAATGTATTCTCTTGTTGCTTTGCCATGAGATACATTCATCTCTTTTCGCTTTTTTCCCCCCTCAATTTCTTATGGAGCTGTGTCTATGCTTAGTTTGTCTAGCATTTATTCCTCGGAGTAAATTATGTGTTTCAAGTGGGTTCCATGTAGTTACCAAGCAGTGACTCATTATAGAACCATAGTTGGAAGACTTCTACAAAGTTATCATCAAGAAACTTGATTGACACTTCTTTGAGCTGTACTTCAAACTTATCATCAGGAAATCCCAAAAGCTGAATAAATTGTTTCTTTGCTGCATATGACTTGGATGGATAAAACGAACATGGAAACAGAGATCCTTTCTCAAGAGTTTTTGTAAAAATGGATAGAAAGACAAGTTTTGTTGAAGAAGGGATAGAAAGACAAGTTGATGCATATTAAAAATGTAAAAAAAAAAAAGTGCTATCTTTGGTTAATAGAATTAAAACTACCCTTCATGACCAATTCATTATATATAATCTCTTCCTTGCCATCCCACAACAAATTTGAGGTGTTGGAATGGAATGAACTCACACTTTTTTTTTCTTTTTGTTTTTTCTGCTGTCATCACTACTGTATACCCCAATGAATCTGATACCTCTGTGTGCCCTTATTGTTGGATTCTCACTTTGTCTTCATCATGAGACTCCATCATAATATTCATGATATTTGTAGTCAAATTTGCCTCTATTGTTTGCACTCTTACAGGACAATAGGGCAAACCATCTCATTAAACCAGTGAATTTGGTTATCCTTCTTTGCAAAAGAAATACTTGTAATGTAGTATGGTCAAAAGAAAAAGAGATTCTACATCCCTCCATTATGTGCTCCCTGTTACTATTCCATTTTCATATTATTGTTCCAACTAACTCCATCATTGCATTTCCCTCCTTGGACTTCCTGCTTTTATTTTTTACCTATGTTTTATTGGTTACCAATTCCACTTGTTCCCCTTTCAATGGGAGGTTGTTATGCATCATCAATCTTCTGTCGTTGAAAACACTAAATAAGAGAATTTGACAAACTGACAATCCATATCTTAAACCACAGCCATGGGCTTCCCTCCTCTTGTTTTATAGTCTGTTTTTTATTGGTGATCTCTTCCGGTTCCCTTTCAGGGAGGGTTCTTACGCATTACTCATTCATCTATCATGGAAAGCACCACTCCCTACTGAATTGCTTGTATTAGGCATGCTGCTCCATGAGATCTATAGTTGAGTTATTTAGAGAATTGGTCATAACACTCATTTAGAGTTATTTTTCATCCTAGGATAGAATTCCACCCCTACAAAGTCATCTTTACCCGTCTCATATCGATCCCATCAGCTTCTCATCTATTCTCATCCTGTATTTGTTGAGAGTCAAAATTGCAAGGCTTCTTTTGGGTTTAGGGCACCCACACTTAAGCTGGTGACCACTATTTCGGGTTGACTTTCCACCATTGAGTTATGATATTTGGTGGTCCCGTGAGACCAAATTGTACATTTGGTCCCATGTCCAAAAGACCATATTAGAGGATTTGTTTGACCCAAAAACTCTCGAATAGTCTTTCAGGCCAATCATTACGAATAATTGATTTGGAGAAAAAATTGTTCCAAATGAAATCCATCTCCAAGATTGACTATTTTGTCTGATGGACGATCAACTCTAGGCTTCAAAAGCTCAAAATCAATTTCTTCAATTTGAAATTGAGAATCTGTCTTATGTTGAGTGTTTGTTATCTATTAAGTTCATTTTATAGTCAAAATGAAATTTAAAATGCAACTCATGACAATAAAATGAATCTCTCTAACTCAATTTTTTTTTTTTTTTGTATTAACTTAAGAGTTTTGTATTTTAAAAGAAGCTATATAGAACAAATTTAGTGGAATAGGTTGTTAGGGAGAGAGAGAGAGAGAGAGAGAGAGAGAGAGAGAGAGAGAGAGAGAGAGAGAGAGTGTAGTAGTAGTAAGTTAGTAGTTAGTTAGTAGTAGTACGTCGTACGTACTACTACTACTTAATTAATTAATTTAAGTT